TCAGAATATACAAACAATAAAGGCACCATATTTCAGGCTACTTTTTAAAAACACTTTAATAATTAGTTTTTAATCATTTTATGAACTCCCCCAATAACATCCATTATCCTGCCCCTCTTTCAATCTGTATTGTCTATAACTGGTCCCAATGAGTGGGCTCTGGATACAGAGGGGCTCAGTGAAGCCCAGACCCAACTCCTCACACCCTCCTGCCCCCTCTCTCTGTCTGTAACTGGTCCCAATGAGTGGACTCTGGATACAGAGGGGCTCAGTGATGTCCAGCTCCTCACACCCCCTGCCCCCCCTCTCTGTCTGTAACTGGTCCCAATGAGTGGGCTCTGGATACAGAGGGGCTCAGTGATGTCCAGCTCCTCACACCCCCCTGCCCCCTCTCTCTGTCTGTAACTGGTCCCAATGAGCGGGCTCTGGATACAGAGGCTCAGTGGCTCCTCCACCCCCCCCCTCTCTCTGTCTGTAACTGGTCCCAGTGAGTGGGCTCTGGATACAGAGGGGCTCAGTGATGTCCAGCTCCTCACACCCCCCTGCCCCCCCTCTCTGTCTGTAACTGGTCCCAATGAGTGGGCTCTGGATACAGAGGGGCTCAGTGATGCCCAGCTCCTCACACCCCCTGCCCCCTCTCTCTCTGTCTGTAACTGGTCCCAATGAGTGGGCTCTGGATACAGAGGGGCTCAGTGATGTCCAGCTCCTCACACCCCCTGCCCCCTCTCTCTGTCTGTAACTGGTCCCAGTGAGTGGGCTCTGGATACAGAGGGGCTCAGTGATGTCCAGCTCCTCACACCCCCTGCCCTCTCTCTCTGTCTGTAACTGGTCCCAATGAGTGGGCTCTGGATACAGAGGGGCTCAGTGATGCCCAGCTCCTCACACCCCCCTGCCCCCTCTCTCTGTCTGTAACTGGTCCCAGTGAGTGGGCTCTGGATACAGAGGGGCTCTGGATACAGAGGGGCTTAGTGATGCCCAGCTCCTCACACCCTCCTGTCCCCTCTCTCTGTCTGTAACTGGTCCCAATGAGTGGGCACTGGATACAGAGGGGCTCAGTGATACCCAGCTCCTCACACCCCCCTGCCCCCTCTCGCTGTCTGTAACTGGTCCCAATGAGTGGGCTCTGGATACAGAGGGGCTCAGTGATGCCCAGCTCCTCACAACCCCCTGCCCCCTCTCTCTGTCTGTAACTGGTCCCAATGAGTGGGCTCTGGATACAGAGGGGCTCAGTGATGCCCAGCTCCTCACACCCTCCTGCCCCCTCTCTCTGTCTGTAACTGGTCCCAATGAGTGGGCTCTGGATACAGAGGGGCTCAGTGATGCCCAGCTCCTCACACCCCCCTGCCCCCTCTATCTGTCTGTAACTGGTTCCAGTGAGTGGGCTCTGGATACAGAGGGGCTCAGTGATGCCCAGCTCCTCACACCCCCCTGCCCCCTCTCTCTGTCTGTAACTGGTCCCAATGAGTGGGCTCTGGATACAGAGGGGCTCAGTGATGCCCAGCTCCTCACACCCCCTGCCCCCTCTCTCTGTCTGTAACTGGTCCCAGTGAGTGGGCTCTGGATACAGAGGGGCTCAGTGATGTCCAGCTCCTCACACCCTCCTGCCCCCTCTCTCTCTGTCTGTAACTGGTCCCAGTGAGTGGGCTCTGGATACAGAGGGGCTCAGTGATGCCCAGCTCCTCACACCCCCTGCCCCCTCTCTCTGTCTGTAACTGGTCCCAATGAGTGGGCTCTGGATACAGAGGGGCTCAGTGATGCCCAGCTCCTCACACCCCCCTGCCCCCTCTATCTGTCTGTAACTGGTCCCAATGAGTGGGCTCTGGATACAGAGGGGCTCAGTGATGCCCAGCTCCTCACACCCCCCTGCCCCCTCTCTCTGTCTGTAACTGGTTCCAATGAGTGGGCTCTGGATACAGAGGGGCTCAGTGATGCCCAGCTCCTCACACCCCCCTGCCCCCTCTCTCTGTCTGTAACTGGTCCCAATGAGTG